CTTATCGGCAAAGGAGAATCCGGCAGCAGGAGGCTAAGGAGGGCGACGCTGTCGTGGTCGACCTTGAAGGGGTTCATCGTCCCGCGTAGGTAACTGAGGCAGGCAGCAACAACTCGGGTCTGCACATGTCAAGGTGGTCGGTTCGTGTGAACGACAATCTGGAGATGCCTAGGGTTCTCGAGCAGTTACTGTAGAGAATCATGACAATGTCAATAGCTCGGGAATCAATCAAGGTCGGCAGTAGAGCCCTAGAGTGTGCGCTACTACGGTCTACGGCCCAGGTAAGCCCCCTTTTCTTATTCCTTGTGTTTTATTCTCTCTCTTGGTATACTTATCGTGTTTGTCTGTAGAATGCTTGTGCGGCAGTCACGCTGGTTGATCGTCTTCGAGACCACCAGTCATCGTACGAATAGGAACACTCCGAGTATCTGTGGCAGAAGGCCCAGTTGGCCGAGCTGTAGGCTACTGGGGAGAGATTGACTGCTCTTGAAAGGGAGGTGGCCGAGCAGGCCATCCTTGTCCGAGAGCTGAAGTGAGAGATCACTGAGCTTAAGGTGGAGCGAGATAGGTTGAGGCAGGAGGTTTCCGAGGAGGCAGTCAACCAGTACAAGGTGTCAGAGGAGATGTAGCTACAAATGGACAAATACGTCGAAGCTTCCTTTGCGGTTGGGTTCAACCTCTTCCGTCGAAGGATCCTTCATCACCATTCGGAGTTGGCCGATGAGTCGTAGGGTTGGGGTGCTTTCGATCCGGATTCTCTGCAAGGATCCGCCGAGGGAGCTGATGTTGAGGTCGAAGCCGTTGATGGTGTTGTTGACTCTACAACCGAGGATTGAGCGACTACCTTCTCTCTCCTTTTTTTCCTTTTTTTTGTGCTCGGTATGCCGAGCCTTAAGCGATGTAATGAACGATTTTGAGTTGAATATTTAGTGTTTCTTTTGTCTACCCATATGTTGCTATCCTAGTGCCTTTTTCTTTTCCCAGCCAAGGTATGTCTGGTCAGGCTATTGTGTGTGTCGGGCTGGGCTATGCCTTGTCATCTTATTGTACAATTTTTTGTTGGCCTTATTGTACCATTTTCTATTGGCAGGGATGCGGCCGGCCGAGCTACTACCCGGGCTATTGTGTGTGTCGGGCTGGGCTATGCCTTGTCATCTTATTGTACAATTTTTTGTTGGCCTTATTGTACCATTTTCTATTGGCAGGGGTGTTGCTGGCCGGACTACTACACGGGCCGGGGTAGGTTGTGCCTTGGATGACTTCTTTGTATTTCTTCGATTTTAGTTCATTGGCCGAGGCATAGCCGACCGGGCTACACCTCGACTTCCCCAGTTTTGTCTTGTTCGAGGTGTAGTTGGACAAGTCATAGCCAGCCAGGTTATGCCTCGACATCTCCGGTCTTGTGCCGGCTAAGGTGTAGTTGCTCGAGATCTTTCAGTTCCCGAGTTCTTAGCCATGGGACGCTCAGTTTCCAATCTCGGGAGCCTTTGGGTCCCTTCTCGGGCTAGTCGTTTCCCAGCTAGCTCAATCGTTAAGTCAATGGTTGTGTGGAGTTCCTCGACCGCCCTCAAGCCTTAGTGGGCGGGGGCATTCTTCCTCCACGTTTAGGCTCAGTCGTTGTCAGCTGAGTCGGGTAGCTTAGCCGGCAATACGCTGCCAAGTTGGGCATAATGGGCTCAGTTGTTCAGGGATCGACAGAGTCAGTTTGGTTGGGAGTGCGGCTCTGCATGTATGTGTGCGGTGGGCATGTGCGCATCTTCTGGGTTAGAGTTGTAGCTTAAAAGAAAGGAAACTCTTATTGCTTGCAAGTCTACTGGTAGTACATCCTGAGATTTCCCGAGTTTTCACTCCTCAATATTGGTCAGCCATCCAGGTCTTCGAGCCTATAGGTGCCTGGGCCAAGGGCCTAGGTGACTTTATATGGCCCTTCCCAGTTTGGTCTGAGCTTTCCTTCTCCGGGCGCAGGTACTATGACTTTGCAGAGGACGAGGTCGCCAGTCTTGAATTCGCGTTTTCTAACTTTAGTGTTGTAGTACTTCGCCATCCTTTGTTGTTGTGCTACCATCTTGACATATGCTCTGTCCCGGGATTCCTCGATTAGGTCTAAATCTGCGTGGAGGTCCTCGTTGTTTTGGTCCTCATCGAAGAGCTCGGTCTAGAGGGTTGGAGAACCAATCTCTATAGGAACCATAGCCTCGACTCTGTAGGTCAGGCTAAAGGGAGTCTCATCGGTGGCTACCCACGGAGTAGTCTTGTAAATCCAAAGTATGCTTGGCAGTTCCTCGGCCCACCTCCCCTTGGCCTGGTCTAGCTGAGTCTTCAGGCTGTTCAACAAGGTTCGGTTGGTCACCTCGGTCTGCCCATTGCTCTGGGTTCGATGTACAGCCGTGGTCCGATGGTCGATCTTTAGGTCGGAGCATAGGGCTTCAAATTTTTGGTAGGTGAACTGTGTCCCGTTATCTGTGATGAGGATGCGCGGAATACCGAATCGGCAGACAATACTTTACCAGAAAAAGTTTCAGGCGTTATGCACAATAATGCGTGCTAGAGCTTCGACTTCTACACATTTGGTGAAGTAATCCACCGCCACCAGGAGGAACTTCTTCTAAGCAACCGTAGTGGGAAAGGGGCTGAGGATATCCATCTCCCATTGCGTGAATGGCCATGGGCTGGTGATTGGTTTCAGGGGGATTGCAGGCTAGTGGTGGAGATTGGAGTGTCGCTGGCAACTGTCGCATCTTCGAACCAACTGGGTCACATCCTATTTCATCATCAGCTATAAATAACCTTGCCGGAGAGCCTTATGTGCCTTATGTGCCAATGTGTGTTCGCCAGGATGGTCTCTGCAAATGCCTTTGTGGATCTCCCTGAGGACGTAGTCTGCCTTAGATGGGGAGAGGCATTTTAGGTAGGGGAGAGTATGTGAGTGGTGGTAGAGTTGACCCTGGATAAGGCAGTACCAGGCTGATCTATGCTGGAGCTTCTTTGCTTCTGTCTGATCTTCTGGAAGTGTGCCTTCGCGGAGGTACTGTGTTATAGGGTCCATCCAGGATGGGTCGTGCTGTACCGGGGGGACGAGGAGAGCTACCTGCGTGATGCTCGGTTGGGCCAGGGTGTCCAACCGTGCTGTCTTGTCGAGGTCAGTTCTCGGGGAGCTGGCCAACTTGGATAGTGCGTCGACTCTTATGTTCTCGGCTCGAGGAATTTGCTGGATGTTGAAGTGCTCAAGTCAACGGATGAGCTCCTGCACCTTCTATAGGTAATTTGCCATCGTTGGTTTTCTCATCTCAAATTGTCCGTGGATCTGGTTGACTACTATCTGAGTGTCACTAAAGGCCTTTATTCTCTAAGCTCCCAGGTCTAGGGCAAGGCGTAGCCTGGAGATCAAAGCCTCATACTCATCCTTGTTGTTGGACGCTTTAAACTCGAACCTAAGGGTGTGCTCTAGCACCATGTCATCCGGGTCAAGGAGAATAAGACCAGCTTCGCTGCCTTGCTGATTGGATGAGTTGTCCACGTGTAGGGTCCATATTTGCGGCGGCGGGACAAGATCCTCAGTGGTGAACGTGCATTTGGCAATGAAGTCGGCTAGGGACTAAGCTTTGAACGTAGGTCGAGGTGCATACTCGATGTCGAACTCACTTAACTCCATGTTCCATTTGATCAAGTGGCTAGATGCTTCCGGCCTTTGGAGGATTTGCCTAAGCGGCTGGTCGGTGAGCCCTCGAATAGTGTGGGCCTGAAAGTATGGTCTGAGCTTTATGGCCGAGGTGACCAAAGCCAGAGCCATTTTCTCCAAGTTGGAGTACCGGGTTTCTGCACCGCCAAAGACTTTACTGGTATAGTAGATCGGCATCTGTACCCGGTTTTCCTCCTTGACTAGTACCAAGCTGATGACCTCATCCCCGGCTGAGAGGTAAAGCAATAGCTCATCCCCAAGGCTCGGCTTGGTGAGGAAAGGCGGCGAACTTAGGTACCGCTTTAGTTCTTGAAAGGATGGACCGTTAACATTCCCTGGTCCATTGGAAGTCCTTCAGTCGTTTGAGGGCCTTGAAGATGGGTAGACACCAATCCACGGATTTTGACATGAACCTGTTAAGGGCGGCTATTCTACCGGCGAGTCGTTGTACATCTTTGTGGGTTCGAGGGGATTGCATGTAGAGGATGGCCTGTATTTTCTCTGGGTTTGCCTCAATCCCCCTTTGTGTCACCATGAACCCCAAGAATTTACCCGAGCCGACCCCAAAAGCACATTTGGTCGGGTTCACCTTCACCTTATAGGCAAGGTGCTGCTTGGCCTTCTTGCTCTTCACTAGCATGTCGTCAACGTATGCCTCTACGTTTCAACCGAGCTGATCTTTGAACACCTCCTTCACCAGCCACTAGTAAGTGGCATCGGCATTCTTGAGGCCAAAGGGCATGACCTTGTAGCAATACAAGCTACGTCGGTGATAAAGGTTGTTTTCTCCCGGTCATTGGGATGCATTCGGATTTGATTGTACCCTGAGAAGGCATCCATAAAGCTCAGGAGTTCATGGCCCGCCATTGCATCAACAAGTTGGTCGATCCTTGGTAGAGGAAAGCTGTCTTTAGGCAGGCCTTGTTTAGATCGATGAAGTCGATGCATATTCTCCACTTCCCATTGGCTTTTCTCACCATTACTACATTGGCCAGCCAGTCGGGATGGCTTCGGGGTTGATCCCCGGCATATCTTCTGCTGACCAGAAAAATACATCGGCGTGGTCTCTCAGTAGCTGTACAAGCTCTTCCCGGAGGTGGTCCTTTAAGAGAGGGTCGACCTAGACTATCCTCTCAGGGTCTCTTTCATTAAGCGGTACCTGGAAGAGGTCTTCGATTGGTTGGCCACGTTGTGTCCTCACCTCATCTCGTAAGTCATAAGCTTCTGTCATTAGTGTTTCTGTGGCCGATCGTGGTCTTTGGCAGGAAAGAAGGTAGCAATGTTGCGCGGTTCTTTGATCTACGCGTGCTACCCGTATACCTTATTCAGTGGGGAACTTCATAGCGAGATGGAATGTGGAGACTGCAGCTTGCAGAGCATTAAGGGTCGGCCTACCAAGGATGGCATTGTATGAAGAGGGGCAACGAACCACAGTGAAGTCCACCATGGTCCTCGTAGTAACGTCACTGTCTCCAATCAGTAGGGGAAGAGTTATCCTCCCAGTGGGCAGGAGGGACTCCCCAGAGAAGCCCATTAGGGGAGTGTTGACGGGGGTGAGGCACTCTTTGTTGATGCCGAACTTTTCAAACGCGTCCTCGAAGAGTACATCGGTGGAGCTACCCGTGTCAACCAGGATCCATCTTATCTCGAGCTTGGCCACCTTGACCGTGATGACCAAGGCGTCATCATGCGGGGTCTGAACCCACTGGAGGTCATCGTCGGTGAAAGTGATGGTCTGGCCGCGCTTCTTCTTGTGCCCTCGGTTGTCGATCTCGCATAGTCGCGCATACTTCTTGCGCCCTGAGCTACTCTCCCCTCTTGCGGCGATTTCACCTGATATGACGTGGATCACACCAACAGGGGGGAGCTCGGGGCGGGGGTTGAGCATCCTCCATGCATTGTTCTTCCTGTGTCGGCTTCTCACTCTTGATGAATCCGCGCCTGATTAGGTCTTCAATGTGCTTGCGCAGGTCAAAGCAGTTCTTCGTGTCGTGGCCATGATCTCTATGGAACTCGCAATATTTTTCGCGATTCCTCTTGTTGCTTTGTGTTTTCATCTTCTCGGGCCAACGAATGTAGTTACGATCGCGGATTTGCATCAGGACTTCAGACCGTGGCATATTGAGCAGCGTGAAGTTCCAATAGGTTGGTGGGGGTGTCCGTGGTCTGCGGTCGGGTCTGTGGTCTTGCCTCTTATGGTCCCGGTCTGATCTTTCTGGCTTTCGCTCCTCTGTATCTCTCCTCCTCTTGTCAGGTCTCTCTTCCTCATCCCGTAGTTGTGTCTGCACTTCTTTTGCGTTGATATACTTCTCCGTATCTCTGGGCATGAGTGGTGTTACAGGCCAATCTTCGGCTGGCGCCGTGCTTCTCTGGTTGCGCTCTAACTCCTCTGGTTGCGCTCTAACTCCTCTAAGCGCTGGCGGAGTTCTCAAATCTCGTCTTCTCTTTGGTCCAGAGCCACAGTGTGCATCGCCCTTTCCTTCTTGGGGTGCGTTGCGCGGTCCTTCACGGAGCTGGACTTGGCGACAGAGACCACGTGAGGTGGCGTCCATCTGCTAAGCCTCTCTTTGGCCGGGATCCACGTGGTTTGGTGCGTCCTTCTACGAGAGCGGATGGAGGGGGCCGACTTTCTTGTTGTATCTTGCTTTTCTTGGTTGGACCACGCTATGCCCTTGTCTGCTCGGCGCGCTTTGGGGTCCTCGGGATGAGGATCATCCTTCGTGTGCGTCGGTGCGTAAGGGGGGACGGTCTTGTTAGGTGGTGTTGCGGGTCCTATGTTCTGCATCATTTTGAAGATCTTGTCGACTTTTTCTTGCATTGCTCGGAATTGCTTAGGATTGACTCCGGCTAGGGGCTATGGAATTTCTTGATGCGGAGAACTACGGTGGCGAGACTCCCGAGATGGGGATCGGCCTGTTGAACGCTCGGACTGGTTCTTGGGCATCTTGATGGCTTTCTTGATTGCATAGTAAGAAAATATTTTCGTGGTGGCTTTTTGTGCATTCCCACAGACGGCGCCAATCTGATGTTGCTCAATCCAAGGTGGTGCACGAACTGAGGAGAGCAACCAGATAGTCATTGCTGATAGGGCGAGGCTGAGCTACAAGGACGAGGCCATGCTTTAAGACATGTGATCAAGAAAGAAGTCAAAGGCCCGAGGAATTATCCCTGGGTAAGTACTTTGACGCTCAAGTCAGTAAGAGGTGATGGGTAGTCGGGCCGAGCTATGAGGATGCTGGTCCGAGCTAAGTAGCAGTACTGGTCTCAAAGGATCGATCCCTTACCTCAAGCATGGAGTACCTTTTTATAGCTGAAGATCCGTGTCCTGGTTGGATTGGGCTTCTGGGGTTGTCGGGATGAGGTTAACCGCCGAAGTATTCGGGATAGAGTCTCATTCCCCATCGGAGTCATATTTCCTCATTCCTCCTTATCTGTAGTTGTGCTCATCCATTTGACATGGCTGGAAGGATAAGATGGGGGCATAGTAATAGCATAGCTCGGCCTAGGTAGGCCGACGTGGCAGAGCTAGGTCCACGTGGTTGAGCTATGCCAACGTGGCCGAGCTGGGCCGACGTGATAGGGTGATAGCTGGGAGGCCACGTGTCTCGCAGGGCCAACTCAGCCATGACCCAAACAGTTCTCATCAGGAGGGATGACCAGAAAGAAGAAGAAGAAGAAGAAACTCATACATATTCTTTGTTCAATTGTTCGATTGGGAAGGGTGATCTCAATAGTTGATAGGGAATGGGAGGTTTTTGGTGCAAATGAGAGAAGTTGAATAGAGAGGGAAAGGGTTTCTTGTGAGCGGAAGAGAGTTCGCATCAATTATTTTAGTGGTCTTTCAAATTTTTTACTTCCATTTAATCTCAATCGTTTAATTGAATTCAATCTCAACCATTTATAAAGAAAAATTAAATTTATTTAATATAATTGCACTAAGCCACTAATGTTTTAATCATTTAATTATGTTAATGTCTTATTAGTTGCTTAATCATTTATTTGATTATTCTATCATTTAGTTATTTAACAATTTCATTGAATATTTTATTTTATTAATTATTTAATTATATTTTAAAATTTTTAATTATTTAATGATTTTTACTAGTTATTTAATAATTTTTTAACTACAAATTTCTAGTGGTTTTCATTCAGTTGGTTAGATTCAATTCGGTTAGAACTAAGAACCTAACATTTTCAACAAAAAAAAAAAAACTAAGAACCTAACTAACATTTCAATTTATCCATTCTTATGAACTGGATTGAACCGAACTAGGTGTCATAACCAAACTGAAATTAATATAGTTTGGTTCAGGTTTTGATTCGATTTGGACCCACTTATATTAGTATTTATAAACTCATGAATAATATATTATTATTAATACGTATAATAATATATATTGCTATTATCCACTAACCCTAGTGGCAACAGAATTTGACCCTAGGTCTTTGCTACAACGACTAGAGATCCTACCAACTAAGCCACCATCAAACCAAGAATCAAATAAATCAAACTAAATTTGCTTATTTAGTTTGGTTCGATTTGGTTTTCATTTCGGTAACCAAATTTGAGTACCCTATCTTCATTGTTTGTGGCATGGCATTTGCTTTTCAAGATGAAAAATGAAACACTAAATATGCCATGACCCATGCCTTTGGTTGTAGTGTGTTTGTTGTCTCTATGTCATTAGTGAATAAAGGTCAATGGGGATGGTTGGCCATTGGTGTTATAGACTGAACATTAGATTTTGGTCACCATGACCTGAATAAGATAATGTCACAACACAAAAAGGTTTAACTAAGAGGGGAGAAGAGAAGAAATCTGACTATTGGGTCGGGTTTGAATCGGTTAAGGACTAGGTGGAACCATTTCCAAACTAATAATAATTGAGACAATATATCCAGAACCAAAGTCAACTCATTGGTTTTGATTCCTAGAACCATAATTCGTCGGGTCGAACCTGACCCATTGAATGCCCTATTTCTATGTAATATAAAATAACATATATGTATTATCCATAATATACATATAGTTAAATATATGTGGGTCAAGTTAAGCCCAAGGCGGGTTTAAAGTATTAGGTTTATGCCCAACCCTAAAATTTGGGGCTCTATTGAGGGCCCAAGCCTTGGCCAGGGCTTAAACACAAAATCTAGGTCCAAGAGCAAAATTTTTCCAACTTGCTAAAATGATCACCCTTGTTTTATGGAAAAAATAGCAAGGTAAGGTGCCTTTAGTACTTTAAAAACATAGGTAGCAAAAAAGTTACCCAAGACCAATTCATTAGTTCTTGGCTTTTTTTTTTTTGGAGTAAATAGGGTTAGGTGTATGATCAAATTGGTTAAGGGTTGTTGGGTCATGGTTTAACAATAATATGACTAGCTGGTCTCGTCCAACTTTCTAAGGTTAGTGTTATATGTTTTATTATATATAAATAAATAATGTTGTTTTGAAATATATATATATATATATATATATATATATTGATTTATTTATATTTTATTTTAGTTTTTCATCTTTCACAAATAAAAAAAGTTAAAAATTACACTTTGAGGCAAAATAATTGGTAAAGTGGTTGAAATAATTTATTAAATAAATTATTAGTTATTATTTAATTAATAAATTAATAATTAATAATTACTTATCTATATTGTATAACTATTACTTTATTAATAATTTAATTATGAATTTAAATAATTTAGTTTAATTGTCAATATTATTTTCATTCATAGTTAATTAATTAATTTACTATTAGTGGTTTTCATATTTAGTTTATTATTTTCTATTAATTATTAATTTACTTAAATAATTAAATTAATTTTTGATGATTAGTTTTAATTAATAAAATAATAATTAATGCTTATTTATTTCTACTTTAGAAATTATTTTCTTTTTATTAATGTACTTAAGAAATTATTAATAATTCATTTTATTGTTTAATTATTATTAAATAGAAATCAGTAATTATTATTATTATTATACAATATAATGAGCTAATAATTTGTTAATTATTAATATATTCATTTACTTTAATAAATTATTAATTATTAATTTACTATAAAAAAGTAATTAATAAATAATAAATATTTTAAATGAATATTATATGATTATTATTTATGAGCCAGGAATAAAATGATCGTATCTAAAGATGATTAACTTCGTAATTATAGCCACGGAATTTTAGTCATCTGTGGCTATAGTGATAAATAGCTCCATAGCCATGGACAGAATAACTTTTAACCACAGATAAATTATCCGTAGCTAAAGCTCAATTTTTGCTTTTATAACTTTTAGCGACAGATACATTATAACCGTGGTTATAAGTATCTTTTAGTCACGGACTGAATAACTTTTAACCATGGACAAATTGTCCGTAGCTAAAACTCAAATTCTGCTTTTGTAACTTATAGCCACAGATACATTATAACCGTGGTTATAAATATTTTTTAGCCACGGCCAGAATAACTTTTAACCACGGAAAAATTATCTGTAGCTAAAACTCAATTTTAAACCACGGACAAATTATCCATAGGTAAAGGTCAACTTTTGCTTTCGTAACTTATAACTACGGATACATTATTATAATCGTGGCTATAAATATCATAGAATAACTTTTAACCACAGACAAACTGTCTGTAGCTAAAGCTCAACTTTTTGCCACGAACATCAAATTGCCTGTGGTTATATCCCATGTTTTAGCTACATAGCTAAAGCTCCATTTTCCAGTAATGTGAAGTTGATTAGAAAGAGTGTACAGGTGATTAATCTGACTGAACTTGTTCACTAATTAGGCTGTCATTGGAGATTCACAAAACTCCTTGATAAGTTTCCCTCAATTCCTGTCTCATTCCTATTTTCTATCAAACCAAACAAAGCAATAAGTTAGTTAGTTCAACTATTTCAGCTATTGTCAGACCACCCTAAGACTTGAATGTTTTGGGATTGGTTCTCCTCGAGATGGTTTGTTGTTGTTTTCCCTTTTCCATGGATCATCTACTGAGAATCTCCTAGCTTAGAACTCCTACATCATAGCTCCAGATAAAAACCTTTTTGAATTTTTAATGTTTTGAAACCTTAACCCCAATCAACCCAAAATGACAAATTTTTAATATAAGAAATTGGCTAGTGCTTGAAACATTCAAGTGAAAGGGATCAGGTGAGATTGGGACGGGGGAAAACTGATAATGTGATTGGATTCACTACTTAATAGCAGATGTCTAGATTCACAGTTATGGCATTCTATCTTTAGGTAGGTGCCCCTAGACTTAACCCTCTTTCCCTACACTCTTCAGATTCCAAACCTTTCCAAAACTAATGCGATAGATTGTGAATTTAGTTTTGATTTTCACCATTTGCAAGGTCAGACGTTTTGATGACAGAAATATGATAGATTGTGTTGGTATCGTCCCCAGTTTAACCTTTGAATCATGAGTTTTTGAGACGAGCAGTGTTTTAAACATGGTTTTCAAAATCGGACGGTCGGATCGGAAAAAACCGGGAACCGGTCAGATGACCGATTTCGGTTTTCCTCAAAACCAGATTTTGGTCCGGTTA